ATACTAAAATCTAATTTAAATGATGTTAAATTTCCTAGAGCGTCCATTCTCATCCAATGTGTGGATGATCTAGTTTTATGCTCTAGAAAATTACTAGACTCCCCAAAGGACACAATTTACTTATTACAACAGCTAGCTATAAAGGGACATGGCTCTGACTCAGTCTATCTCAGGCAAAATGCTTCAGTTATCTAATATCCAAAAATGGGCTGCTAATTAACCCTGAGGAACCGTATCTTGTCCTCTTCAGAAAACAAGAAAGTAGCTTAGAGGATTCCTGGGTTTGACTAAGTATTGTCATAATTGGGTCCCAAATTTTTCATGAATGGTCCTGCCTCTGTATATCTTATTAAAATCAAATTGACCTGATCTAATTCAGTGGCACCCAGAAAATAAACAAGCTATATAATCTCTAAAGAATTATCTAAAACTTCCACTCTGGACACCTTAATTATAAACTTTCTAACTTTTTATACATAGTAATGAAAGAAAAGTATTTCTTTCATTACTACATATAAAAACTATAGCGATCATAGACCTACAGGCTATAATAGTCAGCAACTAGACTCAGTAGCCAAAGGGCTCCCTCCCTGCACGACAGCCATTTATGCTGTAGACATATTATGCAAACAAACACAAAAGATAGTCATGGGCTCTCCTTTATGTTCCCCATTATGTTAAATCTCCACTGAATTCTCATCACATTTTACATTTCTGTCAGCCAACTGGCTCTGCCTTCTGCACCTAATCTCATTTAAACTTCATGTAACAGTCTTAACCCAGCAATTTTGCTACTTTCTTTAAAGGATAAAGACATCAACAATGGCATTTTGCTTACCAACCACCTTCTTATTTCTAGCAATGGTTTATAGGACACTCCTTAATAATGCTGACTTAATTTGGTTTCCAGATGGAAAAGATAAGCAGGAATGTTACCAGGCTGGATATGCAATAACTTCCATGGTGGACATCATTAAAGGTTCTTATTTACCTGAATAAAATCTGTCCAACAGCCTAATTGTTCTAACTCAGGCTTATCCAGTGGCCAAAGATCAAATAGTCAATGTTTACACTGACAGTAGCTATGGAAAACAGGTTGCAAAATTGTTAGAGGCCATAGAGAAATTAAAATAGTTGGCAATTATCAAAATTCCAGGACTTCTAAAGCTGCCACCATGAAAGCAAAAGGAAATTATTTAGCTGATGCTGCAGCTAGATCTGTTTTATCATTACAAAGGGAAATGGACAGATTCCATATAACCAAGCTTTTATGGCTCTCAGAGGCAACCCTAAGCTTGTACTGTCTATAAACCAGAAAAACGTACACAGATGATGGAAAGAAACATTCCAATAATGGGTGAATAGATTTGCCTGTCCATCGCCAACATTTGGGTGGCAGCCTAATTGTTGAGGTAAAAAACAAACAGAAACAACGTTAGTCATATCTGAGCAAATCCATTTAATTTATTTCAACTATTCCTTCCTAAATTAGTAAGTTTGATAAAAGTTATTGAATAGCTAGGTATTTTGAAATAACATGAAAAACTGAGACGCTGACTGTTAGACAAGTCTTAAGTTCTCCTGCTTTGGTTTTTATGGAAGAAAGGCTGTAGAGTGGAATTGGTGCTGTTGATGAATGTCTTGTGCTTTATTGGAGGTGTGTTTCTTGAAAGTGAGTGTAATTGCCAACAGAGGAACCCATTTCTAAAGGTTACGCAATCTGTTCATAAAAGTCAATCTAGGAAATACTGACTGCTTATTTTGTGGTTATCATTGGAAACTGAGGTTTCTAATAGTTAAAAACTCAAGTAAGTTGGAAAGAAATTACCAGTATATCCTATATAATAAAAGCCTAATATGCAAATTGTCCCCTCGATCAGGAGTTCGACTGCTCCCTATGATGTGCGCTGATCACCAGGGGGCGGTGAGGAACATGGCGGGCATCGACGACGACACACACACACACTGCAACCTCTCGCCAGCTACCTGGGGGCGGGGATGATGGGGACGGAGGTGTGGTGAGAACACAGGGTGTCTGCCGAGCTCGCTCTCACTCCCCCTGTTACCCTCCCCTGGGACGCAAGGGCTCACACATCGGGGAAGCCCCCCCACCCCCCACGCTCAGGTGCCAGGCGCCCACCAGAAGCCCACCCTGTACCCGCGCACGGCCTCTTCCGGGTGAGCCTGGCAGCAGCCGTGAAGAGTACAGGGGCTGGTTGGGCTCCCTGTGGGTTCGCACAGGAGCCGGTCTATGAGGCTGGCTGGCTGGGAGAGAGCGTGCTGCTCGCCCAGCTTCCGTGTGGCACTGCTGGGCAGCCCAGAGGCCCATGCTGAGCCCCAGCCTGCGACGTCCAGTCGCGCTCACCGCATCTCTGCATGGGGACTCGGGTGGCGTGACTCAGGTGGAGGGGGGTGTGTGAGGGTCCGGGGGCCCAGGTACTGCCCAGGGCCCAGAGGTCAGCTGGGACCCGCCCTTCCACGCCAGATGCTCACACTTAGATCGAGCCAGGCCTAGGGACCGGACCTATGGACGAATTTCGTGCACCGGGCCCCTAGTAATTTTAATAATAGAAGATATAAAGTATAGAAATGCATTTTTAAGGGAAAAGGAAGAAAGTGAGTTATCCTTGGATTACATGTATAGGATTTATGTGATATGAGTGGTGCATTTTCTGCTTCCAAACGGCATATCTAGGAGGTAATATTATATTAGCCTAAAAAGATTAAAATACTTATATAAATTAAGCAGGATTATGTGGGCTGGACAAAGTACTTAATATTAAAACCAGTCTAAATTTAATGAATGTCTTTTACAGTTATTACCACAAAACAAGTGTTTGTTTTACTCAGGTTTTCAAAAAAGGCTTATGTTATGGTCTTTTGGTGAAGTTTGACAGCCTTTCAAATTTAAATTTTAAGAGACTTTTTTTAACCAAGAGATGACTTTGGGGTATTCCAATGGGGCCTGGAATACCTCAAGGATTTATTCTCTCTCCTTATAAAAGAAAAGTTTTCAAACTAATTAGGCATACTTAATATGCTTGAAATTACATGGGAAGTTTTGCCAAATAATAACTATGCTCTATATGTATACATATATTTTTTATTACAACAGATGTTCTAGAAATTTCAGCCTGCCCTAGGGAGGAACTTGCAAAAATTCAGAACCAAATTCAAACAGGAAGCTCTCAGGGGTAGCAAGAGTCAGGCAAGCCAAGAGTAATGGTTCCTGTGGGGGCGTCCCACAGTAGTACTCTGGGTGTTTGGGGTCCACACATTGGGAGTTTATGAATTGCTTCCAATGTTCAAGGCACACTTCTGATAAGCCAGGTATAGCGTTTTTAAAGTCTTGCATATTATTTGTTCTTTACATATTGAAATTGTGTATTGAATCTAAACAATATGGGCTTTATATTGTTCTTTTTGTTTTTTGTTAATTCTCACCTGAGAGTGTTTTTCCATTAATTTTTAAAGAGAGTAGAAGGAAGGGGGAGAGACAGAAACAGAGAAACATCCATGTGAGAGAGACACATCAATTGGTTGCCTCCTGCATGTGAGCTTGCAACCAAAGTACATGCCCTTGACCGAAATAGAACCCAGGACCCTCCGTCTGCAGCCAACCGTCTATCCATTGAGCCAAACCAGCGAGGGCTTTCTAATGTTCTTTTATGTCATTTTACAGTGATTATTATTTACCAAGAGATTACTATCTTGGAATGTTATATCTTACAGAAAAGCAAAGTTGTTTTTTTAATCAACTGTAATATCTAAGCATTGTGTGATCAAGTTCACCTCTTTGGTAAGCCTGTTTCCACATCTGCGAAAGTGAAGGTTGCTCTAGATTTCCCAACATCATTTGGCTTGGTGTGTTTGCAGACACCAGTCTTTTAGAAATCTTTATAAGAATAGCAGGTTAGCCCTACATGGTTTGGCTCAGTGGATAGAGCGTCGGCCTGCGGACTGAAGGGTCCCGGGTTCGATTCCAGTCGGCGGTGTGCAGGAGGCAGCCGATCAATGATTCTCTCTCATCATTGATGTTTCTGTCTCTCTCTTCCTCTCCATTCCTCTCTGAAATCAATAAAAATATATATTTTTAAAAAAGAATAGCAGGTTAAAAGGCCCTGTTGGTCTTTGGCATCACAAGAATCAAGAATTCCTTAGATGGAGCAGAACTCTCAATGTTCCTACCCTACTCCTTGTTCTTGCCAGTAGTTTAGAATTTACTCTTCCTTGGGTGTTGCCAAGGTGATCTTTCTTTTTTTACCTTTTAAAATAAATATGCTTTCCTTTCCTCTGGCTGTAGGAGTAACCTATGTTCATAAATAGGAAAACTGGAAAATACAAAAAAGTAGACAGATGAAGGAAATCATTCATAATCCCACCTGGGATTAATAATCCCAGAGATATTTGGGGATATGTCTTCCAGACATTTTTCTACATGTAGCTTTTTTCCCATAGTTGAGACCACATTGTATAAGTAGTTTGACATTTTGGTGGGTCTGTTCTTTTCACTTATTACACCTAACATGTATTTTCCAATGTCACTGAAATATTATTCCGAAAGACGGGGTTAGTGGTGCTGCGTACTAGTTTGCCATTTCCCGATGATTGGGTTTTGAAGCTGTTTCTCTAGTTTGCTATTATCGGTAAAACTGCAGGGCACGGAAACTTTTTCTCTTGGAAACCTCAGGGCCGTTTCTAAGATCCACTCCATCGCACAGAATCAGGCGGGCCGCAGGCAGCTCCGCGAGTAATGCCTCTCTCTTCAGGAACAGCTTTCTGCCTATAGCGGGCAACTCTGGAGTCCTTGGAGAGGTTTAATTTCTTAACATTTGGGAAGACACTGTATCTACTTACACGTACTGGTTTAGAGCCGGGTAATTGTTTTAACCTCCTTCCGCGGGGCTCTCAAACGACAGCGCTCTGAACGGAGGGCTGGACATCCCGAAAGGCAACTTCTAGGACGGATTCCCGCCCCCCACGGCGCCGGGTGCCCTTACCTGGGCAATGCCAACTCCTCCTCGGCGCGGCCGAGGCCGCTCGCGACCGATGGCAGCGCCAGGACCCCGTCCAAGTCGAACACGACCGCATGCAGCGCCATGGCGGCCCGAGCCTCAGCCTCCCCTGGGACACTCGGCGCTGCAGAAAGTGTGGACGCGTCTGGGCTGCAGACCGCGGGTTCCCCCCAGATCCAGTCCCGCCTGGTCCTCTGCCCCAGCCCCGCCCAGGCGCCCACCTCTGCCCTGGGATTGGTCAGCCCCTCGCCCCGCCGCCCGATGGCTCCGGGCTCGCTCCCTGACCCGGTCCCGCCGGGGTCGCGTCCCACTGAGGGCTCCTTGCAGTACCCGCGCCCTCACGGACTCGGTTTCCACCGCTTCCAGGCACCCGGAGCCGGGGCTAGAATTGCACTTCCGGATGAAACACCTGTCGCCTAAAATTAAAGCCCAAAATACCCCCGCGCTCCCACAGTAACTCCTTGAAAAGGGGGACTCAGATTCTGGAACGTGCGGCCGCTTAATGCGAATTTGGCAGAGTTTCACCATCTGGGCAGCGCTAGAGAGAAGGGAGGCCTGAGGAAGAGCCTGGGCCACGCCCAGACGGGGTGTGTGTGTGTGTGTGTGTGTGTGTGTGTGTGTGCGCGCGCCCTTATAGGCCCAGGGACCATCCCTCCTCCCCTGTCACCAGTTATCTCTTCCACTGAATCGCATTCCCATACCAACCGTGATGGACTGAATGTTTGTGCCTCCCCTCCCCCCTTTCTATGTTGAAGCCCTAATCCCAGTTGGGCTGATATTTGGAGGCGGGCCATTTATTTATTACATTTACTACGTTTCTTTCTCACAGTTCTGGAGTCTGGGAAGTCCGAGATCGAGGTGCTGGCCAGAAAGGTTTCGTTCTGGGGCCTCTTCTCTTCGCATGGACCAGGTATGTGGCCACCATTTCACTGTGGGCTCATATGACCTCTTGGTGAACCAACAGGCAAGACAGCAAGTTCTCCGGTGACTCTCCTTGTAAGAACACCAGTTCCATCTACCCTTAAGCCCTCACTTTACCCTACTTGCAAACACCCTCGCCTGGAGGATTTATCACACACCAGGTAAGCCAACTCCCTTCATTGCCCATCCCAACCACCCTCCGTGCAGGGTCAGGTCCCCACATGCCCAGAAAGCAGGTTCCAGGGACAAACTTGGGAGGAGACACAAACACACCCCAAAGTCCTCATTTATGTCCATGATCTGGTAAACATGTATAGAAATGGATTCTTAAGGTGTAGCCCAAGGGCAGAAAGTTGAAATGAGATCTGATGACTGATGGGGATATGCTTTTGAGAGATTTTGGTTTAGTCCACAAGTTTGAACAGCTGGTGGGGGGAAGGTGTATTAGTCAGGATTCTCCAGGAGATAGATATATATGATGAGGTTTCTTTTAGGAATTGGCTCACATGGCTATAGAGGTTGAGAAGTTCCCTGATCTGCTGTCTGCAAGCTGGGGAGCCAGGAAAGACAGTGGGACCAGGAAAGACTCGCTCAGAGCCAAAGGCCTGAGAATTTGGGGTGGGAGCCAATGCCGTAAGCCTTGGTCTGAGACCAAAAGCCTGGGAAGCAGGAGCACTGGTGTCCAAAGGCAGAGAAAACGGAGGTTCCAGCCCAACAGAAGGAGTGAATTCATCCTGCCTGCACCATTTTGCTTGCTCTATTCAGCCCCCCGCCCCCAAATTGGATGGTGCCCACCTCACTGGCAAGGAAGTTCTTCTTTACTCAGTCTACTGATTCAAATGGTAGCCTCTTCCAGAGTCACCCCCACAGACTCACCTAGAAAGAATGTGGTTTTTGTTTTTTCCCCAGCTATCTGGGCATCCTTAAGACCAGTCAAGTTGACACGTAAAATGAACAGACTGGTACTAACAGTCTGTTCCATTTGTGGTCTGTGCGAAATTGACAATAAGTACAGCAAAATGGAAGACTTGGGGAAGTAAAGGTGTTTTAAATGTATGACCTGCTACTTTCATCCTCATATGAGAGAACTCATAAGATACTCCCTTCTCCAAGGCCTTGGAAAATACAACGGTGTGGGAAGACTATCATCTTGATTACTTACGGGGGTAGAGGGGGGGGGTGTGTGGTATGGAAAGTGGTTTGGACTGAGATTTGAGTTAAGGAAACTTCTCAGTACACGATACATCTTCATCAGTCTTGGGAGGAAGAGCCAAGTGGGAGCCTCTATGATAAAATAATAAATAAAGTCAATACCATGTCTTTGGGGGAGTCACAAGGATTAGGAACACCCTCATATGCTGGAGGCCAATTCCAGCAGGTCATAAATGCAAGAAGTTCATCAAAAGGTTGGTGGACCTTGAGCCTTCAGTAAGGGCTGAAGATACATATTATTGCCTACTGGAATGGCTGAAAGCAATTCCCCCAAACCTGAATTTACATAAATGATTGCTTGCTGCCAGACAGCTGAGGGCATTTTAATCTATATGTTATTGCCTCCTGCTGGCCAAACAGCTGAACAGCTGAAGGCAGTCCCCACAAACTGACAATGCCTACTGTATACTAAACCTTACCTTTGATATGTATATCTACTTTGCTATAGGGCAAAATGTGGGAATAAAAAGAGCCCTGGGTCCAGAGATAAAGAGAAATTAGCTACTATAGCTAAGCTTCCTCTGTCTCCCCCATGGATTACAAATTTATATTATATTTCTAATCTGTTAATTTACACATAGCACCTTATCCAGATTCCTGAACCCTTCCAGATGCTGGGAAAGACCCCTGGCATTACTCATAGACCAGAACGATGCAGAGATGGCAATTTTGGTTACCACCACTCTACCTAAGATGGAAGGGTCTTTGTAGAATGTCAGTGGATTGTTGTGAACTGAAGTCAGTGACTCCAATGACAGATGCTGATCCCAATGTGATCCCTATTACTGCCACCACCAAATGCCCACCTCCCCAGCAGCAGTGACAAACCCTGAGCTCCAGATAAGGTCCCTGAGGCTCAAATTATTCCTCTGGTGGCAAGCTGATTACATGGAACCCCTTCCATGATAGAGGGGGCTAGCAACTTGTCTTACCTAATAATAGACAAACATGCAAATTGACCGTACCTTCGCTATGCCCAAGCCACACTCACCAGCCATGCCTACCAACCGATCCAGAGATATGCACATTAACCCAACAAAGATGGCGGAGGACAGAGCTGGGATACTTGCGTTGCAGCCACAGCTACCATGCAAGCATCCCGGATCTGGCCGCTCCAGGCCTATTGGAGATGTAGAAGTCAGGGGAGACAGAGAAGTCCGGCTCCAGCACCTGAGGCTGGCTGTGGCCTGGGAGACAAAGAAGCCACCTACCCCATGATCCCAGTCTGCAGCTGGCCGGAGAAGCCACCTGCCCATGATCTCAGGCTGCAGCCAGCCGGAGAAGCCGCCTGCCCCGTGATCCGAGGCCTCAGCAGGCTGGAGAAGCTGCCTGCCCCACATGCGCCCGCCCCATGTCCTCGGGAAGACTGAGAAGCCAGGCCCCAGTGCCTGAGGTTGGCTGCAGCCTAGGAGACAAAGAAGCCGCCTGCCCCGTGATCCCAGGCTGCAGCCAGCCGGAGAAGCTGCCCACACTGCATCACAGGGGACAC